AGGAATGCCTGCAGTCATTTCCCAAGGGATCCTCAGGCCTTGAAAGCAAGGGCTACCTCCGTATCAAGCTGTTTCTCACCCTCTGGTCCCTAGAAGCTTGTGTTGGGGGGAGGGGGGAGGTAAAGAAGACAGGAATGGTCCCCTTTCCCATTACCAGAGAGCCTTGCCCTCAGCAACGTGTGGTGGTGGGTCAGCTGGGACTGAAGCTTCACGAGACCCAGCATTTGGCACCAGATGCCCTACCGCCCCCCACCCCAGGCCCGGTTTCAATAAACACTGCACAGATGGCTCCACAAATCTTTTCTGGCCTGACCCTTCCTCTCTAGGCCATTTCATGAGTTGGCTATGCAGTCCAGGGAAGCTGGAAGAGCCAGCTTAGAGGCCAAGGGTATTCAGGGCCAGCAAGGGCTGGTACCACTCCTGGCCTCTGACTGCACCCCGGCTATGATCACATACTGAGTCCTGATCCTGGTCCTATACTGAGCCAAAGATGACCATCTTCCTTTGACTGTGGAGGAATCTCAGGTTCAGGCAGGTGCCTCCTGCTCCAGGAAGTCTTCCCTGACTGGCAGTGACACTCCAAGCTGCACACACTTCTGTCTCACTACTAGATCTGTATTGATCTATAATTAGATTCTATCGTATTTACCTGTGTCTACTCCCCTCCAGACTATGCACTCCCTGAGGGCAGGGCCTGGGCCCCACTCACCCCCTCACTGGGGCAACCCACCGTGCTTCAGGGCTGACTGACCGTTAGGCAGTCAGTCTCTGTCAGGCAGGCTTCTTTAATGATTAGTGGCTTCATACTTTACTATTCCAGTCATCCACAAGCGTGCTCCTCACCCTGTCTCCCTCAGGACACCAGAGCACACAGAGGTGCTGGAGGGAACAGAGGCTCAGAGAGGGCAATGAATTTTCCCACAGTCACACAGCAAGTCAGGGAAGCCCCAGGAGGAGCTCTGAGGTCCCAACCTCCTTTCAGGACTCTACTTGTTATTCTTCTTTTTATAAAAATGATTTCTTTTAGTTATAATTTACATGCAGTCAAATGCACAGATTTTAGGCATACAGTTTGATAAGTTTTGACAAATGTATACATGGTGTAGCTGCCACCACAATCAAGCTATGGATTGTTTCCATCCTCCCTGAAAGTTCCCTCCAGCCCCTTCCCAGTAAATCCCCCCTCCCTCCTCCCCAGGTAACCACTTTAATTACTTTAGATGCTATGCCTTTTCCAGAACTTGAATGGAATCACCCTGATCGTTATTTTATGTTCTTTGTTCTGCATCTCTGACCATCACAGGGATCCTGTGACGCCCCTAACCAGCTCCCCCCTGGCCCACCCTCCACCCCTCCCTGTCACACCCTCACTGCCCTGGGGTAGCTGCTGGAAAAGACACCAGCCTTGGGAGTTCAGGCTGGGTCCCCCCCCACCACCCTCTTCAGGATCCCTGCAGAGGTCCCTGGGAACAGCAGACCCCCTCCCTCAGCTGGTATGTTTTCCCAGGAAGGAACAATGCCTCCTTCTCCACTGCTCTCCCGGGAGGCATTCCATCAGCAGCCAGGCCTGCAGGCTTGGGCTTTCAGCCTCTCCATAGGGGCTTGGGTGTGTGGGTGGGTTGTGTGATGTTGGAAGGAGGATAAGGCAAGGTTTGAGTGGGGGCTTGTGGATGTAGGGTACCAGTTTGCTGTCTCTGGCTTGTGGGGTACAACCAGGCCCTCCAGGCAGGGTGGCCAATGTTGGGTGAAGTCCGGTTACAGCCAGACCCGTGCTCCCCTCCCCTCCCCACCATCCCAAGAAGTGTGCATTTTAAAGCAAGATCCTGGAGAGAGGATAAAGCTTACTCAAAGGCAGGGAGAACCATCAGTCATGGGATATAATTTTGTGTGTTGGGGGGCTGCGATCTCTTATCCAGAATATACGGAGTCATCCAGCCCTTGGACCTGGCACTGGAGACATTATAAAGTAGGTTCCAGTGGGCAGTTTTCCCAGAGACTCCTGTTTTCATAAATGCAGAGAACTGAATTGATCATAATTCTCATTTCAGAGCAAACTAACAAACTAAACTGGTCTATGCAAGGCCCCTCTTGTCATTAATTTTTTTTTTAACCTTTATCCTTACCCTGACCCTCAGACATATCTTTGTACATCTGTGTCTCTGTGTAAAATCTGCAGTGTGTTGGAAGTGGGTATGTATCCTTGAAGTATATAAATGACATTGTCTTATAGTCTCATTCTGTTTCTTGATTTCCAATGTAAACTTTTAAGATATGTCAAGTTCATTGCTTGTCATTGCTAGTGGGATTCCACAGTATGCAACCTCCATGGCCCATCTAGCCAGTCTCCCAGGGATGGACACCTGCGGATGGGGCCAACCGCTCAAAGGCTGGGTGGACGGTCTTGCTCAGGCTACCCAGGGAGGCCTGGTCACCATCAGCAACCTGCCTTCCATGCCCAGGAGGTAGGCAGGAGCCAGACTCCTTACCCTGCTGTCACGGACCTTCTGCGTGAACCTGGGTTGGCCTGGCCCCCCTCTAGGCCTCACGGCTTCCATTGATGCAGACTGATTGTTCTCCACCTCATTCATGCCCTAGAGCCTGGGGCCGGCCCGCTGTGAGAACTCTTCCCCAGAAGCAATGTACTGACCACGGGGGTTTAGGCTGCACAGAGTCTGGACCAGGATTGGGGGCACACTGAGTCAGAGGGTAGCAAAGACCCCTGGGATGACCAAAGCCAGGCTATTTGGCTGGGGAGGGGCTGGATGTGAGTGAATCGGGTCCCAAGGCCATTCTGCAGGCAGCCTCTGGTCTGGAGGAAGCCCTTCAGCCTTGGGGGGCCCCATCAGACCCTCCAGAGCAGTGAAGACACAGAGCTGCGGGACAAGGACCAGCACTCTGCATTCCT